GGCCGGCCTGCGGGAGGCGTCACGGCTCAGTCCCGACAAGAATTAGTGTTGTTATTATTAATGTTGTTATTATGTGGAGCTGCGAAAGGCATTTTTCGTGTGCCCCGAGGTAGAGATTCGTCCAGGAGGAGGAGGAGGAGGGGTGGAGTGGTACTTTAGCATTTCTGCTCTGAGCTAGAGAGGAGTAAATCCAGGGCTTGATTCTGCTTTCAGAATATTGGTGCAAATCTCTTTCTTCAGAGGCTTTGCTCTGGCAGCCCCAGAGGAATTTAGGTTTGAAAGTGTGTGATGTGTAAAACCCACATCACACACTTTCAAATTATCTTTCATAATATCAAGCAAAGCCCCTTGACCAGGCTTTCATTCCCAGACCCAGCTCGTGCAGATCTTTTGGTTGAAGTGGATCTGGAGGAAATTTTGTAGGTCCTGCTTTGTGCAGACAGACAGAGCTAATTAGAGCAAACCCTGGGCTTTATTTACCAGATGGCAATGCTGAGAGCAGGGAGCAGTTAATACTCAATATCCCATTTCCAAATGGAAGTGCATGGTCCTCTCACAATGTCCAGCTGGCTCGTAGAGTTTCTGACCCTCCTGCACATTGTTCAGAGCTCTCTGCTGAGTGCCTGGAGGAGCACAGCACCTGGGGGTGGTGGAGACACAACCCTTGAGCCCTTGTGTCCAGCACTGAGGTGGCCACACTTGTCACTCAATAGTTCTGTCCCTTGGTGGATGAACACACTTTTCTGTGGTGAAGAAGCTGTTGGTACCTTCTAAATGGGGTTTCCTTCCAGCCTAGTTTGGACTCCTTGCAGGGGCCTCTCAGAGCAGCCCAGCAGTGGCTTTCCCTGGAAATATCCACTACTGGAAATATCCAATATCCTGGAAATATCCACTATTGGAAATATCCAATATCCTGTAAATATCCAATATCCTGGAAATATCCACATAGCCAAGCAGGCTCACACTGACACACAGGACAATGCCCATGCACCCACAGGCAGAGCTGCTGCTGTGCTTGGCTGACAGAACATGGGGAGTAGCTCCTCCAGCTCCTTGAGAAAGCCAGGGAGGATGAGGTGAAATTTGTCCTCAAGGCTTCCAGGACCTGTTCCTGCCCTCCTGATGTCCCTCACAGATAGCCACAGAGCTCATGGCTCTTTTCGGTGCCTGTCCCAAATGTCTGAGCCCACCTGTTGATGACATTTCCCACTGTTTCTACACTCACTTGGCTTTGGTCATCTTTTGTTATAAATAAAATGAAAAGCTAATAGAAAAATTTTGTGAGAAAACTCACAGGGCTCTATGAGAGCAGTTGTGATGGCAGCTCTGCAAGTTTGGTGGAATAACTTTGCACCCAAGAGGCTTTTCCTTGCCCACTCCTGCCTGTGCCTGGTGGGTGCCACCTCCTCACCTGAGTGCCAGGTTTTTCCTGTGCTCTGCACTATCATAGTGCCTCTCCTTGTCCTGTTGGACTTGCAGAGCACCTCTCCCTGTCCCACCCCTTGCACCCAAATCATCAGCATTCTTTCCTTGGTTTTAATTGCAGGCAAGAAATGGAGGTGATAGCTATTCAGAGGACCACAGGTTATTATTTCAATTATTTTTATGTTTAGGACATTTACTCAGGGATGCATTTGTGGTGCTACTGTATCTCAGGGTTATCCACTTGCTAAGAGGAATAAACAAAGCACTTGAAACTTTGACAGAAAGCCTTCACAAGAAAGCTGGTGCTGTTCTTCAGGACTGTCTTTCAAGTGGCTGCCAGCATCTGAATCATCACACTTCTCCAAGTGTGAATATGGGTCTTTACAGCTCTTTTCTCACAAATTCTCTCTATCTGTTGCCCTGTGAATTGTGTTTGCTGGCCGGCAGCACCAACACCTGCACACTCTGCTTCTCCCTGTGCCCATCTCCCTGAGGGGTGGGCATCCAAGACTTTTGTTTTCTGGGATAATTTTGTCCTAAATACTTCTTACATTTTGTTTTTACTTCTAATCCTAACCAGATATTTCTATTTCTGTTCCTCCTTATCTTCTTCATTCTTGTTTTTCAGATTGGCAGAGCTGTTGAGAACTGACATGGTGACCTGGTGGCAGTAAATAAAAAAGCAACCACAAAATAAAGCAGAAATTTGGTTTGTTTTGTGATACAGAGCTTTTAGAATCTTAAGCATTTTAAAAAACCGAACAGAAAGTAAAGTAGGCTCAGTCAGAGAATCTTTTAATAAGAATAATTTTCTTTTTTCCTAAAGGAAACCAGGTTTTTTTTTTCATTGTTAGGATTACTTGAGAAGAAGGAAACTATTCTGTGCTATGCTCATGCTGTAATACTCCAATGACTTCTCTTTATATAATCTCTGTTTATCAGATTTGTTGTGTATAAAAATGGAAAGATCATGCATATGTTGCAGAAGGCAGTTCAGCTGCCTGGATTAAGTAGTATTTATGTGGTATTATCTTTGATGATAACTTAGAAGGGCTTGAATGCTACAGAGATGTAGTTTTCAGGTTGTGGTTACAAGAATCTTTAAAAACCTTTTTGCAGTAATAACTTTTCTCTGATGTTGTGAGAAAAATCACCTTCCCAGGTTATAGTAACCCATTTTCCTTTAATATTTCTTATAAGATCAGTGTAAATTGTTATTACTCAGTGTTTACTGTGTACAAAACCAATTTGGCCGGGAGGATTTAAAATAATGATAGCTTTTGCAAAAGGAATCTTTCAATCAGGCTCTGTTTTTCACTAGTGGAAAACAGAGGCACCATTCACTGAAGTGAGAGGAAGCCCTACTTTTGGGTCCTCTGGTGCTGATGGGGACATGGTGAGCTCAGTCTGGGTGTTTATTTGAACCAGCAATGTCAAATGCATGGGATTATATGCTGGATTTAAATCAACATTTTAAACCCCCTATAGTTTTATTTAAATTTTCATTTCTTACGGCTCTCTCCTCCTGGGTTTCCTCATGTGTTTATTTTGTCCTTTTCAGCTGTCATTGGACTGGATTTCCCAGCTCTTCCTGCCACTTTGGACTGGACCCCTCCTGGCAGCTCCTCTTTGCTTTTCCTCAGCACCACAGAGCGACAGCATTCAACTGTTCAATTAATTTGTCTTGCAAATGGCTCAAAATCTCCTTTTCTGGTTGGAATTTCCCTCCCTTGACATAAAACTCTGCAAAGCTCATCTTTCTCTTCTCTCTTTCCAGGATAAATATGAATTATTGGTGTGCCCCCAATGCACCTCCCCTGTCTCTGCTCTGTCCAGCAAAATGGGAAGTTTCTCTTTACCTCAGTCACTTAACAGGTTTTATTTTTGTATTTGGAGAAGAGGGCTGGGATGGAAATGCTGCCCATATTTCCCCAGACTGTGTTATTACCCAGCTGTGAAGTTTGTGTTCTCTCCACCCCAGTTCTCTCCTTTTTTGCCATTTTCACCCCAGTTTTTATCTTTTCCTCAGAGCTCTGGCCCCAAGCAGTCTGTGTTCAGCAGTGATGCTTGGCACTCTGAGCACACAGCCTGGCCTGCACAGTCCAGCTCATCTCAGAGATGCTGCTCAGAGACAATCCTGATTTTCTGACAGAAATTAAGCCCTCAGCAAATGGGCAGCCCCCAGGGGTCCGTTTGAAGGTGGGCAGAATATTGATACCACAGGAAACCTTGGTCTTCACTTTAACTCATGACTTGCAGTGTGTCTTTCACGTACTTTGCTTGTGGGCATTTAGGCAAGGACGAGAAGATTGCTCAGGAAATTCTCCCTGTTCCTAAAGCAACCAGGCAAAAAATGATTTTTGACAGTACTGTAGCAGAGACCTTTAGTAATCTTGACAGAAATGAAAGTGGTAAAATAAACTGTTGCCTCTCCCATAAAAATTTCCTTGGTCCAGCATCACTGGGCAGTAGACAAGCCATCCCTGAGTGCCCTCTCTGGGTGCTGTGAGCAGCACTGCCCATCCTGGCTGTGCTTGCAGGGACTGCAGGCACCCTCCTGCAGCACACAGGCTCCCTGAGTGTCCCAAGAGCATCAGATCCATCAGATCCATCCATCAGGCTCCCTGAGTGTCCCAAACACATCAGATCCATCCATCAGGCTCCCTGAGCATCCCACAGTGTGACCGTGTTCACAGGGGTTTTCAGATGAGGGAAGAGATGAGGATCTGACTCCATGTTTCAGAAGGCTGACTTACTATTTTATGATATATATTACATTAAAACTATACTAAAAGAATAGAAGAAAGGATTTCATCAGAAGGTTAGCTAAGAATAGAATAGAAAAGGAATGAATTATAACAAAGGCTCTGTCTTGGCTCTCTGTCCAATCCAGCTGGGCTGTGACTGGCCATTAATTATAAACATCCAGCATGGGCCAATCAAAGATCCACCTGTTGCATTCCACAGCAGCAGATAACCATTGTTTACATTTTGTTCTTGAGGCCTCTCAGCTTCTCAGGAGGAAAAATCCTAAAGAAAATATTTTTCATAAAAAGATGTCTGTGACACCAAAGAGCATCAGATCCATCAGATCCATCCATCAGGTTCCCTGAGTGTCCCAAACACATCAGATCCATCAGATCCATCCATCAGGTTCCCTGAGTGTCCCAAACACATCAGATCCATCCATCAGGCTCCCTGAGTGTCCCAAACACATCAGATCCACCAGCCAGCTCTGCTCTTTGTGTCACAGCTGGGTGGGACTGGGATGCCAGCAGATTTATACTCATCTGCTATCTGCATTTAATTCTTCCAGCAGCTGCTGGAGAGCAAGGGAGATGAAAAGAAGTGACAGGTCTGAGTCATGCCTTGATTCGTGTCTGGGGGAGCTGCCTGGCTGATGGCCTGAAGAGGCAGTCCAAAAGGTCAGGGCTGAGCAAGCACGACATTCCTGAGGCAATTCCCAACCAGCTATTTACATGTGCCCACCTATGGTGGGAGTGAATGAAGTGTAATTCTATGCTGCTTTTGATCCTGGATTAGAAATTTTTCTGTCTTTAAAGTTACAAAAATTATTTCCTCACAATAGACAGTTGGATTGGATTAAATTAATATTTAGTATTCTTTGTTAAGGCTAACTATGATATGAGGCAGTCCAAAAGGTCAGGACTGAGCAAGCAC